GAAAGAAATGGCCTCAACAGAGATCATGATTAGAAATATTTAAAAAGGCACAAAGAACTTGTAAATAAAAAAAAATTAGTGTTATTTAATTATTATAAGGAATCTGTCAATTTTTTTGCAGCAGCACAGGTTGAGGGTTTTAAATTCGTGAATCCATTTAGTTTGTGTTTAAAAATACAAGTTAGGCGGATAATGAAAGAATTGATTCGTCGGGTAAATTTTTTTTTAAAATATAATAAAAAATAAATTCTTTTAATATATTATACTTTTTATATATTTAAATTTAATAAATATTACAATGAATTATTTATTTAATTTAAAGTTAAATTATATTTTCTTTTTATTTTTATTATATTTTTTTATTTTTAAATCGGTCAGCATGTCAACCCATTATAAAATATATGTTTTCTAAGCCATTTTTATTTTTGAATTTTGAGGAAAGAGAAACTGTATTTGAACCGTAATGAGGATACTAAATTACAGCAAAACATAAAAAATATTATATTATGTATATATCAATAAAAAATATTAACTTCTCTTTTATCTTAAATTAAGATTTAAATTATCTTATGTTATTAAATAAATTGTTTTGCTAGTAATATTATTAAATAAATTGATACGATGATATTAGAAAAATAAATAAATTTTATCAAGTTTAACTAATATATTTTATAACTAATTATCACGATAAGTTATTTAATAAAATATATATATATATATATATATCTTTCTTTCTTTAACATAACTAAATCATGTTAATTAATATCATATGAGGATTCAAATCATTAAAATGAATTTATCTAATATAATTAAATCTCTCAATGTTTTTTTTTTCTAAAATTAGTAAGTGCAAACTTTGGTTAAAAATTTCATCCCTTACATTTAGACTTGAAAATAAAATAAAAGAAAAAAATAAATGCATTTTTAAAGTTCTTTGTAACGAAAGAAAAAAATATTATCTCTTCATTATTTCATATTAATAAAAGAAATAATATATATATATATATATATATATAATTTTATTAATTTATTATCTACACAAAATGCTTACAAAAATCTCTTACAAACATGTAAGATATGTCTCTTTCTTTACCTAAATTGTTTCTTTAGACTTTGTTTTTCTAGATAAAGTCATTCCTTCTTCCATCTTCTTTCTCTCACCTCTCCTCCCTTTCTTAGACTCCTCTTCCTTCTACTCTCTTTTTTCTCATCACCTTGCTCTCTCTCCCTATCAGCTCCTCTCTTGCTTTTCTTCATCTTTCTTTTTTTTAAGTGAAATTTTTAATTTTTACTTAAGTAATTTTTTTTAAATTTAAGTAAAAATCACTTTTTCATTTTTAACTTAAATAAAACTGTAAAGGATTTAGATGATTTTCTTGGAGTAGGATAGAATACTTAGTGTTATTAGAACCATTATTTTTATTTTTTCCTCCTAGATTTCATTTTTCTTTTCCAAATCAAACAGTAAAAAAATTATTTTTATATCAAAATATTTTCTTATAAAATATCTCCTTCCAAAATATTTTCTATCAATCGAAATACTAGGCTTAGTTATTCTATTTAGCCAACTGTTTGATTTGGTCGAAGTGCTAATTAAACTGTATAAAATAAAATAAAACATAATCGATGATTGATTACACATATCACGTCCATGTATAAAATAAACTGTATAAAATAAACCTGTATAAAATCCATCCGTGAATTACTAATTAAACTTTATAAAATAAAATAAAACATAATCAATGTATAATTTAATACAAAAATTGAACCTGAAAAAATTTCGAATTTAAACTAAATATTTTTTTATTTCAGAGATCATGAGCTCTATATTAAAAACAAATAATTATTTTTGAATTCTTTAATCTATCAACCTAATTTATGATACACAAAAGAACTATAAATGTATGCAACAAGCGGGTTCAAATCATGATTGCTTACACATATCTCGTTGATCGACTTCAGTATTCACAATCACAATGTAAAAGGAAAAGATGACTTAAAAGAAAAAAAGAACAAAAAGGGACGACTTTGTATGTCAAAGAAAAACAAAATGCAACTTAGACCAACCAGACTCTATTTCACTGTTTAGCCTTTCTATATCCCCACCCATATCGCTGTTCATACTCAAGATTATATTTTTTATACACAAACATTTTAGTTAAAATAAGAATGTTTAATGTATATTTTTTTGTATAGTAAGTGTTTGAGAGAGAAAATTGGTAATAGAGTACTTATGCACACATACACTAATATCTACGAAAGGATGTTTTATATGCTTGGATAATTTTTTTTATCCTCTCTTTTTATGGTAGATTTCATCACATTTTTTATAATTTTTTATCTCTTTCTATTTCTTATTAGTTATATACACCCACAAATTGTATAATAATCATTTTTCTCATCTTTAATGTTTTATATTATACAAACGACTGTGCTTATTTTACTTTTTAAGTTAAGAGTCGATTTCTTAAAGGAAAGAAGAGTTGGACTCCATTTAGTTGGCAAAACTAAAAAACAATTGGTGTTTATTTAAGCAACCAGTTGTTTTAAAGAAAAAGGGACCCTCATCTTATACTATATTTATAAATGTCAAGAAATATAAAAAAATATATAGAATAATTTGTGAGATTTATTATTTTAATAAAATTTTATGATTTGTATGATTAAAAAAATTTATTTAAGTTATAAAATAATAATGAATATAAGTAAATTCTACATAAAATTAATAAAATAACATTTAAATAGCTTAGTATAATAGCGGCATTAAGATATTTTTACTAAAAAAAATACTCATTTTAATATAAATATATGATTTAAATTAATTTAAATATGCATTAGTTAAATTTAATAGTTCAAAATTAATATTCTTAAAATTAATTCTATCAAACTCTAAATTAAATAAATACTAGTTTACTCCTTACATAAAACATGTTTTGTGATGATAAAAACTTAACATAATTGATAAATGATTTAATTCTTTAAAGTGTAAGCTTAAAAGGGGGTTTGATTTCTTGGACAGTGTGTGTTTTTCATTTGCGCCACATTTTGTGTTTTTAAAACAAACACTTGGGGATTTGCTGAGTGAAAATTTTATACACTGCAGGAAATATTTTAAGTAAAAAAAATATATTAATAGAGTTTAGATGGTATCATCTTTAATTTCGTTGGTCAATGAATTATATCTGCATGCATTCAAATTCTATTCTATTTTTGTTTATTTTTAAGTCTTCCAAATAACCATATTTGAAAAAAAAATTGGTTAACCCCATTACCTGCCTAATGTAATGTATACATGGTTTCTTAATTATAGTATGTGGATAGGACGAGCACGTGAATTCAGCAAGCCTTTTGACCAAACTAAAACATTATATGTCAAAGTGAATGATATGATGAGAGGATGATAAAACATGAAACGATGACCAAGTTCAGGTAACCGTTGAATCTAACGTATGAATAAATTAAAAATATTCGAATCATCAATCATGCATGGATCAGGTTTGATTTTTCTATGATTTTTACTGGGTAAATGTCAGGTTTGAATTTTTTATTTATGAACATAAATAAACAAATGTTAGACTTTTAAGTTTAGATTTGACATTGAAAACAACGAGAGAGAGAGAGAGAGAGAGTTTCACTTATTTGGTTGGAGAGAAATTAAAAATAAATAAAAAAGTATTTTTATTATAAAAATATATTTAGTATTTACTCTTAATGTATACCTACCGAATTTATTTATTTATTTTTTGAAAAAAAGTAAGAAAGTGAGGGATCAAGTTAGAAAATAGAAAGTAAATTAGTATTTCAAGATAAGTTACAAAGCTTCTTTAGTGCGTGATTAATGAAATTAAACCCTAACCAATATGTCTAAGGAATCAATCATTTATCAATTGTACAAGACATTATTGCTACATTTTCACAATTATATTTTTAATTGAAAAACCTTAACGTTAATTTTATTTTGTAATAATAAGACAATAAAAATAAAATATAAAATAAAAATAAAAAACCATTACATTGAATAGTGGTATTAGATGACTTAATTAAAGTATTTTAAAATAATATTTTTTCTTAAAAATTTTAATTATTTCTTTAAATACTTCCAAAGTATTCATATTGAATATTATAATTTTATATTTTTTATTTCAAATTTTCAAAATGCTTAAAACAAACTTCACACTAAATGTCTCATGATAAAATAAAATATTATCATCTCTTCCTAAATATTTTATTAAAAAAACTTATAAAACATCTATACATCTCTATTATCCAATTCAATCATAAGTTTGTGTGTAAGATATTTTTTTTATATAAATCAATTTTTAAATTTTTAAATGATTATTCTACATAAAAAATTATAATTTTATGAAGCATTTATTATATTATATTATATTATATTATATTTAAAAAATAGAATTAATAAGAACTTAAATTAAAACCAAGAATCTATGCTAAAAATGAAAAATAAGAAAGATAAACGTTGACAATAAAATTAAGTTCATAGATATCAAATAAGAGTAAAATTATTTACAATTTAAAAAATGAACTACCTTTAATTACTTTTATTATTTTGTATAACTTCATTAAAGGGAGCTTATAAAAATTATCATATGGTATTCGATGAACTGCGTCGAGAAAATTAATTTATTGGATTAAACACACTCTCGTATATCTATTATTATTTTTTTAAAATGACTTTTATTTAAAACATACTTATTTTTTATAGTATTTTGTATAAAATAATAAATTAAAATAATACTAAACATACGAATATAATAATTGACATTTTATGGAATTAATTAGCAAACTTATTTAGATGTTGCCATTTGGCCTCCATGAGTGTAATAACTCCCCACATGATTATAACAATTTTATATTTAATGATCTTACATTCCTTTTATCGATGTCAAATTTTAGTGTAATTCAACATTTGCTCTTTTGATTATACAAACAAACGATTTCTACGGTAATTTTGATACATAACAAATTTTGCTTAGCAAGTGTGAATCATATAGATCATTAAAATGATAAATTTTAGGAAAAATTATATTTATCTTTCTTTTTTTTTTTTACATATTTTCCTTCCTATCAAATTAAATAGTAACATTAATGCAATAATTTGAATAAATAAATAAATAAAATGATGTCGAGAAAATTATGGTATGTACCCTGTATTAACAGGTTTTAACAAACAGGAAAGCACGAGAAAAAATAAAAGGGAATTTCACACAACCATTAGTTGTGGATAACCCAACGGCGGGTGTGGAGATAACGGCGACAACGGCGGCACGGTGAAAATTCCCTTTAAATCACTGTCCCAAAACCCTAACCAGCTAGACGGCGTTAACGGAGTATCATTAATGCCGCTAACGTCGTATTCCGCCGTTTTGTTCCTCTTCACGACTTCCTCCTCAGCCTCTTCCCTGTGGCGCTTTCGTTCTTCGGCGCCGGCTTCCAGCGGGAAGTTGAGGATGGCTTTGGAGCCGCGAAGCCTAAACGCGGCTCGGTCGTAGGCTTTGGCGGCTTCGATAGCCGTGTCGAATGTCCCGAGCCACACCCTGGATCCTCGCTTGTTCGGGTCTCGGATCTCCGCAGCGTACTTCCCCCACGGTCTCTGTCGGACTCCTCTGTAGTGCTTCTTCTCTTCTGCGTTTGAATCATTATGCGACACCGTTTCGGTTACCTCTGGGTCTCCGAATTGGATCCACTCGGTCTTCTTCGGGAGGGAGATTTGCAACGATGGTTTTCGATTCGATTGAGGTTTCTTCTCCACGGTTTGAGGTGCAGGGTCCGATGTTGTCTCTGTGTTTGAAAAACTGATGTCTAACACCGATGTTTGCTGTTCGAAGAGGGGAAATTGATTTTCCGCGGAAGCGGTTGCGAACTCGAAGAGTTCAGTGAATGCTCGTTCCTCTGTGGATGAAGAATCGGAACTGGAAGATTGAGAAGAGAGAGAGTTTGATGGAGAAGAAGTTGGGTTTGGTCCGTTAAATTGAAAGCAGAGGTTAGAGGGTGGGAGGGGAGAGAGTTCGCCGAAAAGATGCAATTTGATGCGATTGATGGCAGAAACGTCGACTGGGTTGGCCATGAAGATTTTCTGAGGAAAAAAGGAGGAAGAAGAAGAAGGAGCGAAGTGTTTGAAATGTTCAGAAGATGAAGTTGAGTTGAGTGGATCAGACAGTGGAAAAGGATAATATATAGGAGAAAAAAAAAGAGGTGTTTAATTTTCAACGGAGGTAAGTGCAATGATTGAAGCAGGAAGCATCCTATGTCCTTTTCAACTTTCAATTTATCGTCACCTTATAATACTAACAGTATGAACTTTCGCTCTTAATTTTTCTTTTGTTTTTATTTCACATGTAGATGATTTTAATATTATAATCTCTTTTATTAACTAAATGATATAAACAATTGACATATAACAACTCCTTTTTTAGCCACATAATCATTTTGAAATTATTAAAGATTAGAAAGTGTCGACCATAAAAATAGGAGATTGAAATATTAAAGGACTGTATTAAATTAGGATTTTAAAAAAAATTAGTTGAAAAAAGTCTTGTGAATTTAACAACAAAATTTTTATAACTTTTAAGATTTTATAAAATTTTGTAAAACTTTAAAATCAGAATTTTAATAGATTTTACAAAATTTTTAAGTCGTGATTTTAATAAATTATGCAGTAATTTGTGAACTTTATAGAATTTTGTGAATTTTTGACATAAAAAGTTTAAGATTTTTTTTATACATTCAAATTTAAAAAGAGTTAAAGACAAAAATAATAAAAAACAACAATGTTTAGATAAATAATATTAATAATTCTCCGTAATATCATATCTTCCTAAATAGCATTTATCCACATATTCATGACTATATTAGTTTTCTAAGTATTAGCTTCTTCTCGCTCTTGCTCTTAAATGTGAATAATAGGTTTAAAATGATGATCTTCATTAACAGTAAGGTTGAAGATGAAGATTCATTCATCAGTTCAATTAGAAATTTATCAGAGTAACATTTTTTACTAATAAAGTTATGTAATGTTGCATATGCTAATATAAGTTCTACATGTGTCTTAAATAAAAATGGAGGTGTTAACTTAAAAATTATGAACCTTAATTTAAAAATATTAATTATTCTCTCGATCACATTCCTTAAACACATATGATAAAGATTGAACAATTCTTTTTCATTTTCAGAGTTATATTATCTTGACTAGCAAAATCTTGTAGATGAAGCTAAAAATTGAGATCGGTTAGGAAATCTATAATCCATCAAGAAATATTTACCTAATTACATATGCAATATATATAATATTAGTATAATAATAATAATAATAATAATAATTATTATTATTATTATTATTATTATTATTATTATTATTATTATTATTTAAAAAATAAGCACTTACCTTGAGCCACTTTAAGTCCATTCCTCCTTATTATAACATTATTTAGTAACTTAGAATCATAAGGTAAACCCTTCCATCTATTAAGAATATACATGAATTCCAAATCAAAATTACATGCGGCTAGTATATTTTGTGATATCTTTCCATGACGATTAGGATAATTACTTACATCTCGCCCCCTCACTATTGCTTGAATATGTATCCCATCAATAGCTTCAATGCAATCCTAAAATTTAGCATATATAGCACTTCATCGTATGAAAAATATAAATATAATAATTCCAAATTTAATTATAATTTTTATTGTAAGATAATTAGTACATACCTTGAAGAAAGGAAAGAACCTTATGCTTCATCTAATTTTAACTAGCCTATATATTTTGTGTGTGTGTGTGTATATATATATATTGTGTATCCTCTAGAGGTATTTTTTCTCTGAGAATTGCACATAACTTTCGAAACACATCAAGATACATCCTATAAACTTGTCAAAATATTGCAGGATCATCATTTAATGCTTAGTATATATAGTCATTTTCTATGTTAATAATTCGTTGTCGATTTAATGAACACTCAATTTGTTCATTACGTATCATAACTAGAAACTGAATTAAAACATGCATTAATGCATGAATTGCCATTACACATGCGTACATGGCTTCATAAAATTCTTCGTCATCTATCTCTTCGTCATTCATTTCTTCTTCATCTATGTCACTACCTTCATAGATGCTCAAATGTAAAACTGTACCTATATAAAAGAATATAACCAAATATAATAATATAAAAAAAAACATACTAAAATATTTCAATTAAGTATGACCAAAATAACATCAAAACAATATAGTTCCACCATTCCAAAATATATTCATACATAACCAAAATATAAAGCAAATACTTCAATCTAAGTGCAACCAAAATAACACCAAAACAATATAGTTTGACAAATTCAACATGTGTTTATACACAACTAAATTATAAAAAAAATATTTTAATCAAGTGCAACCAAAATAACACCAAAACAATATTGTTCATCCTAGCTTGTGCTTTTAAAATCCTATGAAATCCTAAACCAATACATCCCCTAAAAGTATTTGGAAGAACTGAATACAAAATTCAAATATATATAAGAATAGAAAACATTTAAATTATAAAATTATTATCTTTAATAAATAATTTTAATTGAAAATTTTTAAACAAGATAAAATATATTTAGTCTTTATAAATATGAATAAATCTGATTAATTTTCTTGATTGTTTTGTTAATAATAATTTTTATAATTTTTTTTAAAAATTCATGTTGCTATTTATTAATTTTGTGGTATACATATATATATATATATATATATAGTCTTTGTAAATATTTATATACACTAAAATATGCTTAAGTTTTTTAAAATGAAAAATAAATAATATATTAACAAAAAAAATTATTTTTATAAATATCCTAATTGTTTCATTTAAAAATAAAAATAAAATATCCTTATGTTCTCTTCCTATCAGAATCTATGTCAATTGTATCCTAATGTGTATTCCTTTTTTAAGAAAGCAAAACATGCCCATTTTCCAATTAATTTTATTTAAAATAAAAAATATAATTATAAATAAGAAAACATCTATAAAAGATTAGACATTTTAAATGTGTCAAAATTTTACTCTCATGTATCACTCTAATGGTAGGTCATTTCTCCAAATCATACATTTTTTGTTTTTCTAAAAATACATTAAATTAATTCCTAAAATTATGATTATCTATCAATTTAATTTATAAAATTATAAAAATACTATTTTAATATAAAAATTACTAAATATCGGTGATTTTAATATTTATTTATATAATATTAAAGATTAAAATGATTATCATTGAATGACCTAAAAAACAAATATAATCATTAAATTACTACTGGCAAAAAAAAATTACTCAAATTATTTGACTCACTCTAGTTGAACCCGGTCATGAAAACTTTAACCCATATTTGTATTATCCTTACCCGACCCAAGTTTCTTCAAACCGAAATCAGATTATTCAAGGTCTTCGTTGTCCACGTCCACTTCATCTCCTTTGACTTTCGACATATTACCCACCCATTCTTCGCTGTCTTCCCTTCTGCTGTCGTTATGAAAATGTGCTAATATTTTAAAAACTGTATGCTATACTATAAATGAGATAACTTGTTTCATGAATACTAGTATATAATAATTTATATTTTTACGCCTTTAAGATTATTTATGATAAAAATTGTAAGTTGTAAACAAATATATCTAAGAGTAATTTGAAGACTGAATTTTCTTAGATTCTTTTAAGTGTGTTGTTAAATGTAATGTCAAAATTGATGTCGTAAAGTAAAATATTAAGTGGGAATAATAAATAACTATTATGTAGAAATAAATTAAATGTAGAAGTTTTACAAAAATATACCAAACAAAAACTAAATTGAAAGAACAGAAACAAGTAAAATGAATTAGAATTAAAATACAAAAAATATAAATATACAGGAATGTAAACGTACGATTCATAATAACAACTGTATTTCTTGGTAGCTAGTGTCTAGCTCGATGTAGAATTTCAGAGTGTAGAGAATTTAGGTGCAATATTTGGATACAAAAAGTTGTCTCTTGCAAAAGTGAAGCTTCGTAACATTTATAGATGGTGCTCCTCAACTGCTATCCTACTTTTATAGACACTTTTTGATAATTGCTTGTTGTGCATGCTAGCCCTCAACCACTGTTGTCCATTATCTACAACTGTTTTTTATTGTGCTGATGATTGTGGCTTCTCAATAATCATTGTTCTCTATGTTTGTTTCTTCGTACCCATGATCTTTTCTTCGTGTCTCAAAGGCCTTCAATTAGCGATAACTACTTATAACCGCTTCAAAGTTTATTCAAGCCTAGTGATTTTTTTGTCCTGTTTCCTGCCCTCCTGAATTCCACCTTGCACCTTGGCCTTAAAGTAAATTTCTTATTATGTTTTGACAATTGGGGAAACTTGTCAGAAACTCTCCTAGACTTAGAATAATTTCACCCTATTAATAATTATTTTTCAAGCAATTCTGAAGGAAATTTGAAAACTCTACTTAGAAATTTTTCTATCAATTTTTATTTTTTGAGCAATTCTGATAAAAATCTAAGAGCTCATTTAGTCTTATAGACTTAGAATTTTCCCTATCAATTTTTACTTTTTGACTAGTTATGGGAAAATCTAAAAGCTCTTTCAGTCTTGTGGGTTTAGAATAATTTTCCTATCAGTTCCTATTTTTTGATCAATTTTGAAAAAATCTAAGAGTTCATTTAATGTTGTGGACTTAGAATATTTTTCATGTCAGTTCCTATTTCTCGACCAATTTTAGAAAAATTTGATAGTTCATTCAGTCTCATAGACTTAGAATATTTTTTCTGTTAGTTCCTATTTCTCGCCTAATTTTGAGGAAATCTGAAAGTTCATTCAGTCCTGTAAACTTAAAATATTTTCTTTATCTGTTCCTATTTTTTAACCAATTATGGGTGTTAGAGACTTACAAATCTTCAAAAACTCCTTGAAAGGCTACCCACTTTGACAAAGAATAAGCTTTCTCGTAACCCTTCAAGATTATTCGAAATATGACATCTTTCTCGATGAAAAATGAAACTCTTTTCATGATCCCTCAAAAACTTCTGACACTTCTCCAAACTCTTCAAAACTTCTTGAAAAGTATATCCATCAACAGAATTTTAGGACTTAAATAATTTTACAAGTATATGGTTTGTCAAAGTGTGTGA